GCGGGTGGTACAATCAATGTTCTATTTAGGAACCAAGCAATAAATATTGCATTTTCTAATCCTATTCTTTGATTATGGAATCCACTATGAGGCACGAATGTTATATATTTTTCACTTCCATCATTGTTATTTAAACTGTTGTCGTTATAATCAGTTCCATTTATATTATCAACTGTTGTATTATTATAATTATCGATGTTGGTGGAGTTCTCATTGTTGGTTGATGACGATGATGAAGATGATGATGATGATGATGATGATGGCGAGAATATGAATATATTTATTGAAATGAATGAAATAAAAAGTGCAAAAATTATTAATAATTTTTTTCTTTTTTTATTTTTATCAAGTGAATGGTCGCGATTATCTATGTTATATATGTCGTCGTCAAACTCGGTGTTAATTTTAGTGTTGATGTCACCATCGTAATCTTTTTCAGAATTTAATAATGGGGTTAATGAGGACATTTTCTTTTCAAAAAAAAAAAAAATGAATGTGTTAAAAAAAAAAAAAGGAAAAAAAGGAAACAGTTATTGATTGAATTCTCGCGACGAAAAAGATATTATTTATATTAATTATGTTTTCAAACAATGTTTATTTTTTCCATTAGAATTCTGTGTAAATAAATATCCTTAATTGTTTAATTGAACACAATTTTGATTGAACACAATTTTTGATTGAAAAAACTGACAAAGACATGAGATCGGGAAAATATTTCTACAATAATAATTATATTTGAACTGGGGCAAATTTTTTAAGTATATTGTTAGAAAGATCAGTAAAAGAGGGAGATAACGTCTGTCATTCCTTTCAGAAACCATATTCCAATTAATAATAATCAATATTAATATTAACTGAACTTCGAACGAGCTGAAATTTAATGATATGTATAACTTTTGAATTTAATAACTTTATGTCAGACTAAATGAGAAGATAAATAAAATAAACTAATACTAATAAAGCAAACAAGTAATAATGATTATCTTTTCAAATGTTAGATTAAAACGCCCGCCGTTTATTGTCTTCGAAATTCATTATTATTTTACTATTATTGGTTGCAGTAATAAATTTTGTGTTACCATGTTTTGAACTAAACTTGTACATGAAATAAAAAATTTTGTTATGTTTAGATTTTCGCAACAATTAATAATAATAGTAATAATAATAATAATAAGCAATTAATTTCTTCGATTATTTAACTTATTTGTTAATCGTTCATTACCTAAAAAGATTTTATGTAACATCAAACTCGAACCTATTATTGAACAGTAAAACTTCTATACAACGAACGTTTAGGACACTCATGTTCGTTATAGAGAGATTTGGTTTACACGTATACCGAATTTATTAACAAATTTCATTATAAAAAAATTGAATATAATTATTTATTGAGTATAAAATATAGATTTAAAATAGTCATCTTTCCATCCAACTATTTGAACCTTTGAAATCAGTCATGCCTAATTTTTCAGAAAAAAAAAGCCTTTTTCTGGACAGCAGTAAATACCAGAGAGATCTTGTAAAGCATTGTCTACCCTAAATTGTCATGACCTTTTCTAATTCCTCATGTCGTTCTCGATAACTAGTAGCTTGAATTTACAGCTAGCCATTTATCTTAGCTTTGAGTATGTCAGTAATGGTCGATTCACCACATTTATAAATTTTGGATAATTCAACATTAGATGGTTCATGTTTTTGGCCTCTCTTAATACAATTTTTCTTTTTTTTTTGTAAAGCAGCCAATGCTTTTCATTTATTGGGTTTGACTTGATCAGCTGGAAGAGTTGTCTTCCTTTCATTTTAATTAAACTAGCAATTACCAATTGTCATGAAAAAGATTGTACGTATAGTAATGGGATATCTATTTTTTTTTATTTCTAGCAACTTCGTCGCACAGTGTACTGACTGTCAAACATTGTACTCTTCTAAATAAACAACATAATGCAATGCTTATAGTGTATGTAATACAATAAATTTTTTTATTTGTAATGCAAAAAGGATTAAAAATTTACTTTAAATTTGATGTCAATATTAATAATAATGTTAATGTTTATATATAATATGTATAAATTTTTTTTTCATGCATGCATAGAAATGTTATTTGAAAAATTTTCTTTTTTTTTTTTTAACAATGTAATCTTGTTGTGACATTTATTAATTTAAAAAATTTAAATTATTTACAATGCACAGTTACCCTCGTTTTACCATAGAATGGTATTCGTTTGGAGCGACTTGGTGTCGTTTCTTTAAATTTATTTATTACAACAATGATTATTATTATAATAACAAAAAAATAATAACATTTTTACATACTTGATGGTTTTTAAAGGCGATTGATCGATTGGCCGAAAATTGATCATTACAATGTTTTACTTCCTGATTTTGCTCTCAAACTCTCCAAAAAATTCAAGCGCTATCCAATATAAATTATTAATTATGAATTATGGGTTACGAAATACGGGAAAAAATAAATAAATAAGCAATACCTTGATCAGTACATAGCGATAAGTTATCGCGCGTGTGGCACGAAATACATTCAATATAAACATTACACAAATAAATTCTTATCGTCCACTTCAAAATTAAAAGAATAGCTAGCTTAGACACTTGTTATTCTACTCCAGGTCAGAAGTGTTTCTTTTCTTCACACTTATTTTAAGATTATCGTTCAACCAGTATGCAGACTAAAGCAATAGTTGTGCCAAAGTATTCCCTATAAAGTCGCTTATAACCACTTGGAAGGTTGTGTTAGAAAAATTTTGCTGAATACAATCAATTACTAATGATAATTACTATTACTATTATGTGTATGAGTCAGTTTTGACGAATAGCGTCAACATAAAAAAATTCATTCACACAATGTTTTGCATTTCAATTTTGCTCTCATCCTTTCCAAAAATTCAGCTTACCAAAAGTTCATGGACAAACCTTGCAATATGCAAGTAATTAAATAGCAAGTTACAATTCACATTATTAACACAACAAGTTTACAACTGAGAGTGCAACGTGAGCTTTTGCTTTGTACATATTACATAATCGTGCTGTACTATGCGGGATCAAAATTTAACATCATGTTAACGTTAAAAGTTGGGTTTGGATTGCGTCTTCTTTGTCGCAAAGTGCAAAAAAATCACATCACTTGCTTATGTCAAAGATAGAGGTTGGAATCGACTAAAATAGTTGACTACAGTGCAGGTCATCTGAAGACATCAAAAAAATCGACCAACTTCAAACCACAAAGGCTTTTTTTTATTTATTAATAAAATTGAAAAGATATCTCTATTTTTGCAATCTTTAGAACCTAAGCAACAATGAAATAGAGAGCTTTTTCAATTTTATTAATAAAAAAAAAAAAAAGCCTGTGGTTTGAAGTTGGTCGATTTTACTATCAAAAATGAAATTTGGCACAATATAATCCTTCCTATTTGGAAAAGGAACACCGAGACCCGTGACCAGAACAAATTATAAAATTCGGTTCAGAAAACCATTGTTATGTTAATATATATTAATATATATATTTTTTTTAGTAAGTAATCAACAAACAATACATTACTATTACTAACAATTTTACATTCTTCAAATTAAAAAAAAAAAGCCAAAACGAAGTAAACAAACTGCACATTTAAGTAATGCTAGAAATGTTAAAAAAACAAAATCAGATGATGAATTGAATAAAAGTGCATCAAGTGAAGAAGAGATTGATTATAATGATTTCGTTTATGAGACTGACGATTCTGGTGGTGAATGATTTAGTGAAAGCATGTTCGAATTATTCGTTTTATTCGTTTTATATATTTGTTTTATTCGTTTATTCGAGTAAAAATTTATTTGAATATTCGTTCATAACGAATACGATAAAATGATTGAGTCATGTGATGTTATAATCCCGTGACACCAGAGTATCATTACTATTTTGGGATTGAAGATTTGGCAGTGCGATGTCTAGATGGCGCGCACTATACTAATACTACTAATACTGATACTGATACTAATACTATGCTAATATTATTATTATCTGACCAATTACGATTTTTGTGTTTATCATTGAAAATGGAAAATTTCTATGTGGGAGAGTATCAATACCATCAATATGATGATGACGACAATAGTAGTGTGTTGTTGATGATAATTTTACATGTGAATGAATAAACAATTCCAATACAAGGTCAATTAGTTCATTAGCTTCAAGTTCCAATGATTTAAGTGGTGGTTCCAGAAGACCTTTAAAAGAACAAATCGTAACACATGGTTTTGTGTGGAAGTATTTTGAAAAAGTGAAAGATTCAAATGGAAATGAATTCGTAATTTGCAAATTAAAAAAAAAAAACGTAATATTACTAAAGAAAATTTTGACCAACTAGTAGTCTACTAAGGATTTTTTAGACGATTTCAACCTCTAGTCAAAGACAATAGTTTATTTTATTAAAATTCGAAATGTATAAATAGGATGGCTGTCCCCACGTTTTTTTGTAATAATCTTGTGACATATCCCTGAGGCTGCTTTTCTATATTTGAAGATAAATTCGAAATTCGTGTTACATGAAGTTTTTTAAAATTTCTCGTTATTATTCGACAAAAATTTGCATCTGTTATTATTATTTACATTTTGATACGTTATGAATAGCTTCGTTTCTGTGTTTTTGATCTTGAATTCTCCATGTGCGACGTAGCTGGGCCCGAAAATGACAAAAGAGGATCAAATACTCTATATCTTCTGTTCATTATCATCGCCATTAATGGTAATTGATTGAATGAGGAAAATCTGAAAAAAAAGAAAAAAACACCCGGGGGTTCCACCTTGAGCGTTGTCTGCAAAGCTTTAAAAATCATTAATTATTATTACGCACATACTCTATGTTGTTCTCGTACACATATAGACAGACTTACAAAATAAATCAATGTGTCTTTCCCAAAGTTGACCACGTTATAATCGTTAAATCTTTCTGAATGTGGTTGGGATTGTTTTATACAGACCACTTGTCAAAATTTTCGGTGGAAGAGACAGTTTTAATAAACGGACCTGGACAAAAAAAAAATGGAAGTCATGATGATGATTTTAGCTGGGGGGGTTTTTTTTTTGATACTCTTCTTTAACTTTATTTTATTTTATTTATTTTTGGTTTTGAGTAAAAATAATTTCTCAAAGATTTTAACGATAGCTTGAGCATAATAATTCAATTAGCCATTTTAGGATTTTATAAATAAATTGGTCTAGTCAGCATGAACGAACATGAATATTTCATAACGAGTATGAATAGCCATTGTCGCAATGAAAAATAATGGGTCAATAGCTAAGCTAAGCCAACCAATTCAAGCTTCCTTTTGATCACATCTTATAAATAAACTTCTATTCGTTTAGAAAAAAATTTGCAACGCTTAACTTAACGTTAACATTACATATTAATATCAATATCAACATTAACGTTAACGTTAAGCTACACTGCGTACACATACAATCATTTTCGTA